ACAGCGTAGGGAATTATCGATCGAGCGATAGGGTTGTCAGGTCGGACAACAGCTCGGGAAACGGGGGATAGATCCCTGGGAGAGCAGGACAGGCGGTCTATTTGGGCGAGTTAGTGAACCTGCTAACTCCCAGCTGGCAAATGTAGGGGTCGATTTTGAAGAAGTTAGGCTGGCGTTTCGTTAGTGACGGACGGTCCAAATTTCCCTTCCTATTCCCTTTGCGCACTGCCACGGCAAAAAGCGTATGCAAACAATTGGAGGACAATGTATTTCTTTTGTTTGGAGCTCGGCGGTCGGTTGTGTGTGACAATGGACCCCAATTTAGGAGTCGAGAGCTTCGGGGCCTCTACGGTGACTATGGCCATACACCATATTTTGTGAATTTCGGCAGAGAAATGGCGATAGAAGGCAGTAGGGACTTCATAGACAGTTTAGGAGGTCAGGAGAAACTAAACTGTAAGGAGCGAGCAAAGAGACTCGAAGAGATTAGGGCAAACGTTAGAACTATGCTAGAGCAGGCGACTGAGAAGCTTGCGAGGCAGAACAATCTCAGACGCCGAGACGAGAGTTAGTCTGGAGGAAAAATTTCATGCTGTCAGATGCAAGGACGTAAGATTTATGGTCCTTTGCGAGTTATACGGTGACATTGATTTAGTTCAGCGAATCAAGAAGCAGCGGCTACGCTGGCTAGGTCATGTGGTCCGGATGGATACGAATACTCCAGCTTTAAAATTTTTTGATGCAGTACCTACCGGTGGAAGCAGAGGAAGAGGAAGACATTCACTCCGTTGGAAAGAGCAGGTAGAGAAAGATCTTTCTGTACTTGTTATTTCCCATTGGCTCTAAAAAGCAAAAAAAAAGGGAATGGTGCAATGTTATTAACTCGGTTAGAATCGCGTAAACGGGGTCTACGCCAGTAAAGTAATTAAATATAGTTTGGGCAAGATTCGGACATCACGATAACGATAGAAAAAAATGCGACACCGATTCAGGATTCATTTAGCAGTAGTAAATGCATCGACATGGTTTACTGACTTTTTATATATAACTTTATTAGGTACTTAGGTCGACATTCAATTTTTTTTCGGAGCATTATACCCGAGAAGAAGAAGATCTTGAATATTTTAAAGACAATAAAACGCTCACACCGCAAAACAGTTTAAACTGCGTCATTGATCGCACTTGATAATCAGAACAAATCTTCCTCGGAAGAAATTGGATGCAATTGCACGAAATATATGCAATATATATAGTTTTATTCTAATTCTTATTTAATTACCTTTTGGTCGTCGAGGGGATGCGATGCCCGTAATAAAGCTAAAGGGAGCAGAGTAAATGTCTGTATACCTTTTTCTGGATATGATGATGAAACTAAGCTCAGGTTTTCATACATTTTGGGCGCTTGAGATTTATGTTATAAAGCTTTTCAAGTTTTTGATGTACATACCCATTGTACTGCAAAGGTGTTTGACATTTTAAACAAGAGTTATTTTTTAAGAGATTGACACCAAATATGGCGAATTATTGGATTGACCACGCATTTAAATTCAATATTTAATAAAAATTAAGATGGTTTCTTTGTAAACACAAAGCCGAAACGGTTAAAAATTTGTTAACTCAATTCATTTCATTCATTTGCCAAACATCTCGAGCGCCACCTAAAATATATAAGGTTGTCAAATATCTCCCTTCCGCATTTTTGCTCTTCATTCAATGCTTTATAAAAAGTGTTACAGTGATCGGATTTAATTAAAATATGCGCCGTTTTGTTCGATGATCTGTTTCCATCTAGACGGCAACTTCATAATACCTTCCTCGTAGAAGCCCCCCTCCTTATTTGCGAAGAATTTGGACAGCCACTTTTCACAAGCCTCTTTTGAGTTCAACTTCACACCAGCAAGGGCATTCACCATGGACAGGAACAGGTGGTAATAGCTTGGCGCTACGTCCGGGCTATATCATCATCATATGTCATCAACGAAGTGTGTGGTCTGGCGTTGTCCTGGTGAACACTACACTCTTCCTGTTGGCCAATTCTGGACGCTTCTGGTCGATCGCCTGCTTCAAGCGGTCCACTTGTTCGCAGTAGATGGTAGAATTAAGCGTCTGGCCATATGGGAGCAGCTCAAAGTGGATGATTCCCTTCCAATCCCACCAAACACACAGCAAAACCTTCCTGTCCGTCAATCCCGGCTTGGCGACTGTTTGGGACGATTCACCGGCCTTCGACTACAACCGTTTTCGCTTGATATTGTCGTATGTGATCCATTTTTCGTCGCCAGTCACCATCCGCTTCAAGAATGGGTCGAGTTCGTTCCGTTTCAGCAGCATATGGCAGGCGTTGATTCGGTCCAGATGGTTTTTTTGCGTCAAATTATGCGGCACCCAAACATCAAACTTTTTTTTGTATCCAACCTTCTGCAGATGGTTCAAAATGGTTTGGTGACTAACTCCCATCTCCTGGGCGATGTCACGAGATGCCATATGCAGGTTTAACTAGATGTATTCCATGATTTGATCGGTATTTGTCGTCACAGGTCTTCCGCCGGCTGGCTTATCCATGGTGTCGTTTTCACCGACTCTGAATCTGTTCGAAGTGATAGAGTACCATCTCCCAAAACACCATTAATCTCACGGAACGTTTCTGTAGCGGATTTGCCTTTAACGAAGGAAAACTTTAAAATAGCGCGAATTTCGGCGTTAGTGAACTCCATGTTTACACGTCTATAACTGTTAAACGCAATATCCTAACTAATCATGCATAGCGTTGTTTTGTAGGTTATATCAAGACCTTTCAAATTATGTATAGTGTTGCCAGATACGAGCTATGTAGCGCTTTGTGCATATCCGCGAAATTCAAAAGACAAAAAAGCGGAAGGGAGATATTTGACAACCTTATATATTAATAGCGATATTAATTGTACAACCTAATGTTAATCGATTTTCTAATGAATGTAATAAACTAGAAAATGATATTTGTAAAATAGAAAGTACTTCCATCATTTTCTTTGACCTTCACTTGAAAACATTTACAGTGGCTTATTTCAATATTTTTCTGAACATTTTATAAACAATGAAATTTTACCAGGAATCTTATTCGGAAATCCTTTCTTTGGCTGAAAGTAATTTAAATGCTTATATAATGTCATTACGCACTCGATTTAAGAAAATTTTCGAGTCGCGTTACATTTCGATATTTCGAGATACATTGAACAACCCAAATTTTTTCACAAAAGCAAACCCAATATCCGAATTTTGTAAACGGATCAATTTTGATGTCAAAACAGCCAAAAAATTGGAAATGGAATATACATTATACCATATTTTCTTTACTCTTACAAAAGATTACAATGTAACTGAAATATTAGAAAACAGTATGATATTAAGACTTTTCATGTTACTGATAACTTAAGCGTTGATATAATGTATGACATTTTTGAAGGTATTTGTCATCTTAGCAATTCTCTAATTTCATTTCGAATTTTAATATACCTAAGACAGTTGTGATTCTTAATACAGGTGAAATCAAATACCAATGAAGTATACATATTTCAATATAATTGATACAAACATCGCACCTTGTCGGCAAACGACTGCTGTATTAGTGGCAAGATCGAATCCTACCGTACGAATATCTGACTGCACTTTTAGCTACTAACAGTTCGCATCGCACCACCACCAGATGTTACTGCTATTTCACTTGATGTAAAATATTTCAAATTTACTTTTTGTTTTCTACCAATCAAGTATGATTAATCCACTTGAGAAGGGAAGGTGGAAACCCGAAATGATAGAGTTTGAGAGAAAGAGAGAATGAGAGACTTTGTCAAAAGTTTGGGTGGTGAATTCTAGCAGCTTCGATATGGAAGATTTGCCTTTACAAAACCCATGTTGTGAGTTGTCCATAATTGAAGGCACAGAAAGGGCTAATTCATCAGTTATAACAGCAGTATGGTATTATGTTCGTTATCGGTATATATAGAGATTCAGCACAAAATTTAAGTACACTAGAGGGATATTATCCGGACTGCATGCGAATGAGCTCTTAAGGGCATTAAGATGCTGATAAACAACATCGGCGGGTATATGTGGTACTTTTACGCAATCAAAAGAGGGTATTCAATTAGAGTACATGAATGACTGCGGGGCTGAATTTGTGTACGGCGCATAATTAGATTCGAAAAAGTCTGCAAACATATCTGCAGTTCTGTAAAAAGCCCCAGGGAATTTATCATTCATTTTCATAGATGATGGAAACCTAAAAGTCTTACGTTTCGAATTAAAAAAAAAACTATAGAATGACTTCGAAGTAATGTTATTTTGAATTCTTGTCACATACTTCCAACACGACTTATTCGAAATATTATAATTTTGTTTAATTACGGAATAAGCACAATAATCAGCTCATTTGTTATAGGATCAAATTTTCTGAAGACTTTACATTATGACTGTGAAGTGCAGAACGTTTTTTTTCACGTTCCCGTCACACATTGGCCAGAGGGAAATCGTACACGGCAAATTTTTAAGATTAATATAATTTTTTGAGGTAGATATGGTTAATTAGGATTACAGGGAGCATCTAACATAAACATACATCCAATGTGGATGGTGAATGTAGTAGATTCTGCCCAGGGTTGCACATATAAACACAAACTGTAACACTCTCTTCTAAATCTAAATACATGAAGAAAACAAACTATTTTAATAAAAAGAAAATTTTAGCACATGTTGAAACGTGCACAAAAATCAAAAGATTTGAACAGAACAAAGAAGAAAGTTAAGCTTTAAATTCGAAAATTTTAAACAGAAGTTAGATATAAAGACTTAGACAACAGTAAAGCACAAGCATTCGAACGTATGTTCAAAGCATCTCTGGTTAATATATAAAATAATGTGTAATTTTTTTAATGAATTAAGATAGAATTGAATGTTTGCAAAACAAAAATTTATTTATGTTTGTCAAAAATAATATATGTAGATCAGTTGATTTTTTTACTTACAGTCCCCATGGAGTGATAATGGGCCACTAGAAGATAAGGCATGGTAAACAGCGTGGAATACATAACTCCAGCAGTCCAACTAAAGATTATCACACTGCTTTTAGCTTGAGTCAAAGCCATAAGTGTCATACCCACGCTATAAAATAGTAATCCACCAACATATACAAATTTCGCACTGAAAAGAAATGAATGATATTGTATTAAAATGTGAATATGAAACTCCATTAGCTCATTTTGGTTTAATATTTGGCACATTATGATATCATCATCTACATCAAATCGAGGGGCTAAATTATTTCGATTATTTTGTTGAAGATATTCCGGTGCAACAACAATCTACTAACGTCCATACTCAGATATACGTTCAGGAAATCCAATATTTATTGCAGTTTATATATATATGGACATAGTTACATATGTACTATATAAATATATTCACTAAGTTTTTTAACTTAATCTTAAACTATAGACATGTACATTTATCGTTGAAATCTGAATGTGAATTGTTTGAATGAACTCGATCAGCAGAAAGCCGTATGGTAGTAGGCAAGCAAGAACAAACAGCAAAGATGGTTTGTCAACACGCGAAGTTCACATAAATTACTTAAATTAAACTGATCGTTTTCAGATAAGAAAAGTTCAAACAGCTTACACGAACGAAAAAAAAAATTCAAGTAAATAAATAAGATTATTAAGAGACAGTTTCTGCATGTTAAATTTCAAGTCAATCGATCCTTAACTAAGATTATCTCGCCTTAATCGGTCCGCGAGATTCTCTTAATAAAGTTGAATTTTGCTTCGGTCAGCCGTTATAAATTCAGGAAATACCATAAATTGGTTTTAACATCAGGGGTTTTCATTGAGCAAGATCACATACTATTTTGCATAATTCATTAAAATGACAAATGTCAGAGCACGCGCTATGGAATTGCTCGGCCTTTGCGCACGTAAACGATCATCAACAATTGATTGTGTCAATTGATGTCCTCGAAATGCATGAAAATGATCCGGAATTTCATCGACAACTCATCTTGAATAAAAAGGTACGGTGAAAAAATTGTGCTCTCGAGAGATGACTAATGATTCTTGATATCATAAATTAGACGGTATTGATCTGGACAACGTTTACTTTCAACAAAAATCTTGACTTGGAATATACCATATGTAATTGGTTCAAGCATATCCCAACACGTTCTCTATTCATATTTAGTTGCATTTTTGACAGTTGGCATTTTGTTACTACGTGGTTATGTGCTTTGAAATATTCTTTCGAAGAATTTTACGTAAAAAGTAAATAATTTTCCACTACCAACATCTGAAATTACCCGAAATTATAATCAAACTTTTTTTTAGTAAAATTGACATATTGCAGGTAAAAAAGAATCTTAATTATGACGTTTTGCACCCCATTTTAGTACCGGCCAGAAGAACTACTGGGATATTTTAGTGTCAGGACTCTAAATCCTGTCACTTCCTTTGTGGTGGGAGAAAAACTCCGTTACCAAGTATTAGCATTAAGCATATTCCCGACAGATATATGTTTGTAATTCACAATAATTGCGCCATCGAATTCTAGAATTAAGCCATTGAGACCTTACTTCTATCAAGAAAGAGAAGCATTGTGCGGTTTTAAGAGAGGTGGAGGCAATAGGACTCGTAATCCACAGAAAGATCTCAAGGATTAAATACACGCTGCAAGGAGCAAGCAAACATATATTCTCACTGTTACTGTTGACAGAAATTCCATTATCGCTTGAAAATAAGGTGTGTGGTACGAAAAGAAGTTTCACAATAGCTGAGACGATTTATTTCTTTCTGAGACATCACATATTGAATGAAAAGCATTCCTATATCACGAGAGTGTAAATCAGTTCAGTGATTTATCGGCTTAACCTCGTATTTTAGAAAAATCATCGAAGGATATGCTGCAGAGGTGGAACCACTATCCTATATACTACGTAAAGACGTGATCCGCCTCTGAAGGACTGATGGTTTCTTATGAGGAGCTTTATTTCATGTCAGCACTACATTCGAAGGGGTTGAGTTTTCTGCCGAGGGGCGACCGCAATTAGAAAATTTAGCTTAATTTTTAGTTTAAATTAATTTTCTATAACTTTTTGTTTTGATGTTAGTACAACAATGCTAACCACACGGCTACCGCGACCGCTATAATAGAGAAGAAAAAAGGATCTGTCTAATGGATCAAACTTTAAGATAGTCAAGCATAACAAAAGTCAATGACTAAGAAAACTCGCGAAGCTTTTTTGTATTTTTCAAAAAAGAAACGACTATAAAAAATATCACAAAAGTTAAAAACTTATTAATGCTTACTTTCTTCAAGAATCGTTCTATATACTTCCAAAACTTCTTGTTGTGGTATTGATCATACTAAGTTCAATAGATCTTGAACTTCGCGTGATTTAAATATATTTAATTCAACACTCTTATGAAACTCCTATGTTGTTATAATGTTTGAGCCTTGGCATTAAATGTGAAGAGCTCCATCATTCAAATTATCTAATTTGGAACTTTTGTAAAGATCAATCCGTATGAGGTATTGTTCGTTTTCTAGTGCTCAAGAAATCCTCATGAATACAATCCTTCGCGTAGCTCTATTTAAAAAGTTATACGGGGTCAAATCGCAAAATCTCGGTGGTCAATTGTCATCGCCAAGACGGGAGTTTACGCGGCCGGGAAATTTCTCTCGCAATAAAGGCCTTGTGAATGATCAGTTGGCTTCAGTTTTTGTGTGAGCTGAATTTAATATGTACTTAGGTTGTTTATTTATTTATTTGCTCAAACACACAACCATAAATTATTTTACAATGCTTGAACTTTATTCTAATAACTTAAAATAAAACATAATAATAACATCTTAATTAAGTCATTAAAGCCGTCCTTTTCTCTTTAAACAAGTTAATAACGTTAAGGGTTAGGGATTTTATTAAAGAAAATAATAATAATAATAAGCGTGCAAATTAGCAATTAATAGATTATGCAAAGTGATGTAGGAGTTAGTTTTTAAAGCGCAGCGTGCTTCGAATGCTTTCGATCCTTTGTGGCGTTCCAAAGACGAACTATAAAAGCAATAACGTTCAGATACCAGGAACTGTATTTCATGCTAAATAAGTTAATTAATCGGGGAGATCTAGTGAATTGAGCTCGTTCTAAAAGATATAGTCATTAGCTCTCAGGAGCCTAAATTTTTGTGAAGTAACATTAGGCACTTTAACTTCGCTAGATCATCGAATTTTATGGAAACTAGTTTTAATGCTATATACGTATCTGGCGATATTATGTAGTGGACATTGAGTTTGCTACAACACAGACTGTCACAGCTGGCAAACAGTTCGCAACTGTACAGTAAGGTTGGTAACAGGAAAGGTTTTGCTGATTTGCTCGAATTTTCAATGGTGTGAAATGCTGAATAGTTCATAAAGCACGAAGCATGCAATACACCTTACCTATCGCACTATAAATGTGGTTATTCCCATTATTATGTTTCTGGCAATATCAATAAACTTAATAACAGACTTATTTAGTTTCACTTCACTGTAGACTTCAAGCTTGAAAGGCTTTTTGTAAATGACAATGCACTGCAATTTACTGAGATTTAGAACTAAACCATTATCGTTGGCACACTTGCGACTGTGATCTAAATCGACATTGAGGTCATTAATGCAATCGTTGATGGATTCAAAACGGCAACTGACATATAATTGAAATCATCAGCGTATAAATGAATGTCATGGTTATTTAAGGTCGTTAACATATAAAGCAAACAACAGAGGCCCAAGAATAGATCCTGTGGGAATACCTTTCCATACGTGTAAATGGTTCGATATAACGTTACCTAGACATACAGCTTGCGAACGATCACTTAGATATGATTTCAATAAATTTGTTGCTGTCATTGAGAAATGAAGCAAATTACTTAGTTTTAAAGCTAGCAGTTCATGGTTCACAGTATCAAAAGCTTTGGAATGATCCAAAGTGTTAATAACATTACTCGATTTTTGTCTATGTTGAGTCTGATGTCATCCGAAACCTTAATTAGCACCGTTATACAACTTCTGTTAGATCTAAGTCCGGATTGGCACCGATTTACTGTCACGTTTCGACTTAGGAAAGAATTTATTTGAGCCTGTGTAGGCAGTATACATTGAAAACATTTGGGATGTAGACGGCGTTCAATGTCCAATCGTATTAGATTTTAAGTTGGTGGCAAGCTCGACAATTGCACACTCATCAATATCTGAGAAAGTGAAATCAAGCACCATGCCACTGGCATAATTGTAATACTTCTCATTGAGATGACAAATTTTTAATCTTTTATGTTGCCTACTTAGTATTCTTAGCATGCTAAATGAACTATCACAGCCTACGGAACGAAAGTGCCTGTTAAGGGTCTAAACATCGAAAATTTAGAAGTCATTACTTCTCAATATGAAGCAAACCCCTACATAAAATTGCTCAGCTACAGCACATAGAGTCAGCATTTGAGAAAAAAATTAAAATTTGCAAGTTCGAGAGAGTGCAGAGGACAGCGCTCTTGCATATAACTGGAGAACTTCGTACGGATTACTGCATATCATTCACTAACTTCAAAACAAATTTCAAGGTAGTTATCCCGGATAGAAACCAATCGAACCAGAATAATACGGATGGGTCAAAACTAGATAACAGGGTCATTGGTGGAGTAAACTTAAGGGATCTTCGTATTTGCAAGTCCTTTCGTTTACCGGATCAACTAGTGTTTTTCCGGCGGAATTAGTGGCTATACATGAAGTTTTGAATTATCACAGCTTAATGGTGCTCTCCGAGAATCGTGTCCCTTGTGTGCAAACTTCTTTGAAAGTGGAAATTTAAGTCATTAATACGGCCGCGGTAGTGGTTAGCATTGAGTGCTGCCATCCTGAAGGTTCGGGCTTAAATCCTGGTGTGGTATTAACATCCAAAAAGTTTATAGAAAATTAATTTAAATAAAAAATAAGTTAAATTTTATTATTGTGTTCGCCTCTCGGCAGGAAATAACAACCCCCCGAGTGTATTTCTGACATGAAACAAAGCTCCTCATGTAAAAGCCATCAGCCATTCGGAGGCGGCTTAGTTTAAACTATCATCATAGGCGCAAAACCACAAATTGGAAGAAGAGCTCGGCCGCGTCAGCGATTACAAACCGCCAATATATATAATACGGTACTTGGCTAAAAAGTTGTATGATTTGCATGGTAATAAAGCCTTAATCATAATTCATAATCATATACGACGGGACTGGTAAAAAAATTGATATATTGATATTTGGGTACCACATGAATTGAAAGAAATTTATTTAACAAGCCGCTTCAACGTTTATAATATGCATCTTAAACCGGATGAGAAGCGGCAAGAATTGGTCATTCGTAAAGGTCATATTCTACCAGGACAATGTTATACTATTACATACAGATATTGAATTTCCATTTTGATAAATAAGCAGTTCAGTGTCAGTTCCTATAACACCCCTGATTTTGAGACATTGTTCTCTAAAATTTTGCCTTTAATTATTAAGTAAAGTGCTTTGAGCCACTTGATTTCCTTCTTCATTTGTCAACTTTAACGTGCGATTCGATTAACTTCTGAGGAACAGTATTACAAGAAATTGAGTTACGATATATGAAACTAGTACAGAAAAGTCTCTTTTTGAATTCTACTAAAGTAAATATTTTGAATGGTAATGAAATGAAATATATTATATTCTTAGAAGTTTATATAATCATTTTTAGTTTTTAACATCTAAATATATTTTAATTTAAGTTACATACCTTAATTTTTTTATTAATGTTTCAATTATTAATGAGTAACAAGCACAAGACAGAGAATACATTGCCATTCCCCAGCAGCCAAACCGAACGCCTTCCTCATACTTTATTTGCGGTAATGTCCCTTCAAGAGCCTTTGGATCACCCATGAAAACTGCTTCACCAACGAAATCCGTAAAGTAAAGAGAATAACAAACATGAGCCATCCAACAGAACAGATTTGTTAAACAAACCATCCGTAACGAATGTGGCATATATATTATTGTATATAAATAATGTGACAGATTTTCAACGGTTTCACTGGGCAAATTAAATGCATTTTCAGGATCCAATGGTGGTTCAGCCGTATTATTTGTTTGTGCTGTATTTGCTTCAGCCATTATATCTTCATCACATTCACTGCCCTGATTGGTTTCATTCGGTGTTATTTGGCAATTGGCAGGTTTGTCAATATCCAATGAATATACCTGTTATTTTGTTAGTAAACAATTTAGAGCATTTTAATATATTCACAAACATACGTGTGTTAAAATAATAATTAGAAAGAAATACTATATTCGCATTGCTCCGACTCTTAACAAGGAGTTATAAACAATTACAGTTTTCTTTGCTATTGGAAGTGATTATGTATGTACCGTAGTAGCCAAGTGGTTAGCACTGCGATCTATGCTGAGGCTATAGTTCGCACACTGATGTTAAGTATTACTTTGTCATAACACCATACGGAGCTGATTTATACATACTAATCTACAATACATAACAGACATGCTTTTAATATTATTTACTTGATGTAAACTGTGAAGTTGTTTTACCGATAAGCTCTAAAAAATTATTTTGGAAATTTATTTGGATTTAATATATTTTATTTATAAAATTTGTGGTGAAAGTGATCGTGCCGTTAAATTTTAATTTATTAACTCATTATTGCTTTTATTTGTGGTTAAGTTTTAACATATTTTGCACATTTCCTGTAGTTTTTTATTTTGCTTTTGTTTATGCTTTTTGTAAACACAGCTGTTGCCTGTTGTTTTTTAAGTGTCAGTGTCAGTATCAGTGCATTTAAACCTGTTCGCCACATAGCGCTCAATTTTTCTTGAGTTTAAAAACAGTTTATTTTTAATTTTGCCAGTAATATTATTCTTGCTTATAAATCGTTTATTTTGCACATAAACTGACGGCCGCGGTAGACGAGTGGTTAGCATTGCGTACTGACTGCCGCCAACATCTAAAAGTTTCGGAAAATTAATTTAAATAAAAAAATCCTCCTCGAAAAAAACATCAGGCGTACGGAAGCGGCTTAGTACAATATAAACTGTAGGTCTTTCCATTTGTTGGAAAAATATCAAGACGCAAAACCACTGATTGGAAGAGGAGCTCGGCCGAAAAATCGGTGCAGCGCTTACACAGCGTCAATTAATTATTATAGTTTTTTTATTTTTTCCTCTTTTTTGCTGTTTCTAACTATGTTTTGATCATTTCCTAACTGTGCTATTGAAAGTGAGTCTGAGCGCTTTGTCGCTTATTGGCTTTGTGATGAGAATTTTCGACGGAATTAGCGATGTCAAAGGGCTATGGTGGTCGTGAATATCATGTAGATCGACTGAAGTAGATTTATTTAAACTGCATCGCCAGACACATGAGAGGTTTAGTGAAATAGACCGTGAACTGGCCACCTTAACAGAAAACTTCAAACATTATGATAGTATGTTCCAGTCTTTAAAGTGTTGAGACGAATCTAAAGAAAACACTAAGCGACAGAGTTATGTGTCCGTCCGACGATATTGACTCAAATCCTTCTTCTCAAAAAACTAATCTCTCTACATCCTTCCAATATTTATTTAATCAACTTGTCGTCTTCTTGTCCCCATATAGAAAAGCCTTCAACATCTAAAGGGCAAACTAATGCTCAATGAGACGTTCCTGAGCCTCAATGTGGTACTGATCTGGCTGCTCCACAACCAGTAGCCACTTAACAACAAAATTTGTTTTTATTTCTAGATTCGCTAAAGATAACACAAACGAAGAAGTAAAGTTTTACATACCTTCAAAAGTTATAACTGATGACATAACAGGAAGTTCAATTTCAAATATAGAAGTGATCGATTGAACAGAACTGGGCTGATGGTTTTTTATGAGGAACTTTTATTTTAAGTCAGAAGAACAATAGGAGCGGTTGAAATTCCCTGCCGAGGGCGACCGCAATTAGAAAAATTTAACTTATAATTTAATGTAAATACATTTTCTATAACTTTTGGATGTTGGTCGTACCAGGATTTGAAACCTTACCACCCGAGTGGCAGTGGGCAATGTTAACCACTCGGCTACCGCGGCCGCTATCTTATATACCTCCCCGGTCGCACATATATGTATGTAAACATTCAGCTTACTTGTTTTTTTCATCCTTCTAAATGTAACTTCGATGGTTAAAGAATCCGGGTCTTTGATTGTTTTTGGCGACTTCATGGAGACCAGTAACCATAATGTTACTCCAAATTGTAATCGATCATGTGTAAAGGAGTTGTTGGAAGAACTGTCCGAATTATGCCACAGCCAATTTAATTTAGTTCCTAAACACTTTGGTAAGATTTTAGATTTCTTAATAATGCTGTTAAATCTTCTGTTATTAGAAGCACTCGTCTTGGAGATAACATTTGAAATCAGAAGTAAACTTGCGTGGTGCTTGTCACGAAAATGGAAAATCAAGAGCCAGGCGTCGTGATAAAATTTTGCGCCAAATTAGGCAAAACAGCTTCGGTGCAATTGTAACAGTGTATGGTGATAGTGCTCTACATTTCCGTCCGCCATGAAATACAATCTAATCTCATATGTCATGTGGCAGTCTAAGTATTTCCAATATTCTACTATTTCTGAGGAAGATTATATATTACATGGTTTGATGAATCTAAAACCTTCTTTCTGAAAAGTTGTGCCAAAAATTTTTATTTGCTTTAACCCAACTTTTTAATTCCTCTCTCAAGCAAGGTACGTTCCCTGCAATATGGAAGCAGCTTTTATTGTACCATTATATAAAATTGGTTGTAAAAACATCAAGAGGCGAAAACCGCAAATTAGAGTAGGAGCAGGAACGAAAGCGCCAATTATGTATATACGAGTATATACATACAATACATAAAAGTGGCTACACCATAGCTTTTTGAGGCAATCATTATTAGTTAGATAATGTTTTTGGCCCTTCACTACTCCCCACTACTACTACCCCAACAAGGGTTTTGTAATGGAAAGTCAACACTTACAAATTTGCTTGATCCTGTGTCACATATCTCTATAGCCTTTCGAGGTAATAAGCAAACTGTCGTTATCTACATCGACTTAAGTAAAGCATTCGATAGGGTTAATCACTCAATTCTACGAGGTGTGACAATTAAGTAATGAGTCTGATTCCATTCCATCAAAATTATTCTACAACTCTAGCATCCCCACCTTGGGAACCCTCGTCATGGCCGCCTGGATGCCCTCAATCGACTCAATAAGGTTTCCTTTGACCACCGATTTTGTTCCAGGAAACATAAAAAGTCACAGGGTGACATATCGGGCAAATAAGGGGGTTTTTCCAACAGGCGATTCTTTTAGAGGCTAAATACTGGGACATGCAATCTTTCAAGTACTTGCCGATTTACGGTTTGCCCCGGTGGAAGAAAATCTTTGTGTATGACTTGCACGGCAAATACGACAATGTAACATGTTAGTAATCCTGGATATCCAGTTTAAATTTCTTAACACGAATAGTAGGAATTGCTTTTGTACAGATTCCAATTTATCACTTTACAATTGATAGCGCGGACTCCATACAACTGAGCCATATTCCACTGCGATTATGTATCATATAGGCAAAGTATTGTTCAACACTGCGATTATGTATAATATAGGCAAAGTATTGGAAAGATCTCCCATGGAAAAACATATATTTATTTCCACTTATTTAAACTTAGGGATATACAGTGCCATGACGAACACCAGATGTTACTGCTATTTCAGGTGATGTAAAATATTTAAAAATTAATTTTTATTTTATGAAAATCAAGTATGATGCAATACACTTGAGAAGGGAAGGTGGAAACCCGAAATCATCGAGTTTGAGAGAATGAGAGACTTTGTCAAATGCTTGGGTGGTGAATTCTAGCTACTTTGATATGGTAGATTTTCCTTTACAAAACCCATGTTGTGAGTTTTCCATAATTGATGACACAGGATGAGCTAATTGACCAGTTATAATAGCTGTATGGTATTATGTTCCTTATTGGTATATATAGACATTCAACACAAAATTTAAGTACACTAGTAGGGATATTATCCGGACCGCATGTGAATGAGTTCTTAATGACATTAAGATGGTGATTAACAGCATCAGCGGATGTATGTGGTACTTTTAAGCAATCAAAATGAGGCAATAAGTAAGGCTGCGGGATTGAATTTGTGTTGGGCGTATAATTTCTGAAGGCCAAATGTAAAGCCCTTGTGAAGTGTAGAACGCTTTCTCCCACGTTTCCGCCAGAATTGGATATTAATATTAGAGGGAGCATCTAAAGATAATTCGAGAGATGAAAGATAGCCATCTTCGGGCAAAACGAAAGGATCACAGCGACTTAAAGAAAATTACGAAACGTCATCCAAAATATTTTTTTTGAGAAAGGTCCAAATCAGGAAGCGCATTTAAGAAATCATGAGTATTATCTCGACTTCAACGAGCTACTACTAAAGTGTCATTAAATTTCCATTATTATAGTTATGGAAAATAATGATTTTAGCCTTTGACGACTGGAGAGACTGGCGGGATATAACTGGCGACAATATAAAGATTTTTATTAATGAAACGTATTTTAACACAAAAAAAATTCCATCGCTTCCGATTTCGCAAAATGAATTTCTTCCGCAACAAGGTCTGCTTAAACACCAATAAGTACTCCACAACCAATATAAATAAGGTTATCACTAAAAACTTCAAAGTTGCTCCCTAAGATTTTAGAGTCGAAGACATTTGGATTAAACCAAGTTTAAGCTGTGAAAATATAAGTCTTTCTGCTTAGTGTTCAAACCTCTTACGTTTTGATGGTAAATATTCAAGATAGCAGTTTTTTGGTTCAGAGGAGGCCACAGGTAATTGAGCAAGATTGTTTGCCTTAAATCAAACTCTCGAACGAAATTACCCTAGCCAGAAAGCATCTTTTTTAAAGGAAGCTATAAATTTTTCCTAGGATAAATTGAACTTGAAATATCCAAACTGACTGGATTTAATTTGCCTGATATATAGGATAGCAAGTCATCCACAGGTGTATCTTTTGCAAACCACGATACAATTTTGGACTTCCTTTTCGGAACCACAACTAGCTCTTTTCTAGTTAAGGCAGAGGGAGCTGTTCAAGGAAATAAACGCTCCGACGCCGTAACTATTGAAGTCGGATTGTTTGCTATTTCCAATGCTTCAGCGGTAGCTCTAGTTACACAACCT